CCCCAAAACCCCAAAACCCCAAAACCCCATGAAACTAAATATCAACAATGAATGGTTATAGCAATTAAACATCTGAAAAATTAGCTATAAATTTAATAAAATGAATGAGAATGAACAGTTTATTTACTCATCACCAAGAAAGTAAAAAAATTATCTACTTAACATGTTAGTGGCGATCGAGTGATACTATTATATCATGAAGAATAATTTGAAAGCTATGATGAATTGGAGTTAAATCCTGAACCAATCAAGCAAATTATCGATATCAATAATGATGAAAGTTTGCCTACTCCTGGGAACAGTCGAGATTATTGCGACGAATTTAGCAATGACAGTTCGAACCATCTAAGGAAAAATTCAGCTTTAGCCCATTCCTATATTGATAAGTATATGAATCAGAGTATGAAACCCTATCAAAGGGGAGGTTATGATAGCGCAATCATGGCATCTGCATAGGATCTTATGAATTAAAATAATAACTAGGAGCATATTTAGTCGATCAAAGCTGGAAGATAAAGTAAAATTTTATACTCTAATAGATTTAGTAAAAACAAGACCGCAATCAACCATTCGATCTAACGAGATAAGATACAAGTCAATGAAGAATCAAACCAATAATTTCCAACTAAATAGTCAAAGCACTGGCTATATTTTTGATTGTAACGGAGGGGATTTTAAGAAAGCAATTAAGAATGGAGTAGTGGATTATAATAACTAGAGCTCTCCTCATTAGCAGGAATAATTAACAAATAGTAGCTTCTTTTCTTAAAAGTAATCTGTTCCCTTAAATATGATGGTTTAATACGAGCCAGTCCTTGAATCACGCAGAAGTTAGACTAAAAAAATCAGGAATTTTATTCCACTAAATTCACTTAACAATAATAATCCTGATAATACTCTATCTAATAAAAGAATAATAGTAGATAGGATGAAGAGTCCGAAAAGAACTAACAATTTTATGAGGTATGATTTGTTTTTTAACTATCTTTAAATAACGTATCTGAATAAAAATTAATTGCTATAGAGAAACTCAGAGGAGGGTTTAAAGATACAATCTGAATAAAAATGAAGAGCTTATTTATCTGAACTTCGTTAATCTCTTAGTCCAATTTGACCAGAGTAAGTTTAGTTGTGTAATTATTTTACAGGAACAATGGATGATTTAGCTTCAGACGCTATCAAAGATGCTTTAGACAAAAAGGATCTCAGTTTTAATAGTTTGCAAACATAGAAGAATATAAATATAAATCATTAATTTAATTAAGTTTAATTAAGAGATTGAGACTATGTTTTCCCACTCATAGCTCAAGCTTTAAATAAATATTCTTCATTATTGAATGTCAAGATAAGCAAGAATTTCTGATTTTGTAAGTTGGTTGAAAAGTGGGAGCTCTGGGGATTCTCCGACTTTGATGGAAACTTGCTGGATTTTAGAGTATTTAATATCCTCATGATAAGTCACATATGCAATTGCATGGCTAAGAGCTGCTTCAAAGTTATCAGCTAATTCCTTAGGGTCTTGAGATGTTCTTCCAATCTTAACTGTATAGTTTGGTCCATTACCCTGGATAAAGTATGCTGCTTATGAAGCTTTATTCATAATCTTTTACAAATCTTTAGGAGTCTTGTGGCCATGGATCTTAATTGGGCATGGGTATTTTTTCTAACCATAAAACTCTCTTCCTAAAGCCTCTGGTAACATTTTATAGACTCTTATATCAGCCAAGAATTAGTCATACTCCTATAATAGCTTTCTCTTATCCTTGTATTGCTTGAAATTTCTCTTTAACTTGTCATAACCAATCACCTTAGCAATGCATGGTATCTTCAAATCTTATAGCTCATTCTTGATTGCTCTGGATGGGTCCTTAACAAACACGCAAACTCTAGTATTATGTGCTTTAGAGTGGAATGGATGAGGTAGATTTATCTATAGTGGGCGAGGAGTTGGCTTCTCTGGTACTTGATTAAGTGTAAAGTTAACATGGATAAAACTATCCTCGTCTTGAAGTAACTTTTTAGCTGAGTTCTTTGACTTCTGATCTTGCTAATACTTCTGCAATGCTTCCACTGCCTTAATTACCTGCTTCTTATCAATTGAGCTCTTGATCTTTGCGTCAAGCTTTTTTATTGCTTTTAATAACTTTTTAGCATTCTCTTTCTTTTGCTTTACAGTGTAGGATTCTTCTTAATCTACTTCTACTGCAGCCTCAACTATATCTTGATTCTTTTTCGTTTAGACGACTTCCTCCTATTTCTCTTGTTATTTGACCTTTTTTACCATATTGAATAAGTAATTAAAAATTTAATTCACCCTGAATTCTCGCATGATAAATATAGTGGGGTTTTGGGGTTTTGGGGTTTTGGGG